GCCCCCCGGCCCCCCCCCCCAGGAGCCCCCCGGCCCCCCCCCCCCGGAGCCCCCCGCCTCTCCGGGGTGCCCTGCTCCCCACCAACCAGCAGCCGCAGAGAGGCGGGTTTCTGCTGTGCTGCTGGACCAGTGGGGTTTGACCCATGGCCGGGATTGTCCAAGCACCCGTGACGAGGGACGTTCTTCAAGGAAGGGCCAGTGCAGCCTCCCGAACCGCCGCCATCCTCCAAGGAAGGGATCTTGGAATTTCAAGCTCAGGGGCCTCAGGCACTCTTTCTGGAGATCGGGAGGGAACAAAAAGGCTCAGAGACATTGGGACTGACGCTTTGCCCCTCTTCCTGCTTCAGAGCAGGGATTCTGTTACCCAGGAGAAGCGAGCTCCCTCCTCCCCGGTGGGACTCCCAGGGGGCTGCGGAGAGAAAAAGGAGGGCAGGATGCCAGCCAGTCGTCCACCGCCACATGACAGCCCTCTTTCCCCAGTCGGAGGCGGGCCGAGGCCGTGAGAGCGCCCTACGCGCACACAGGCTCTCCCACGCCACAATCCGCCAGCTACCAGGCCAGGCTTTCTCCAGAGAGGAGGAGAGAAAACAGCAGGCTGATCGGAAGGCCACGCCGGGGAGGTTCTCCCCCACGGCCTGAGTGGCTTCATCTCCGCAGACCGGCTATTCAGAATGCACACCGATAGGCGACGTGTCTGCGGTGGACACAATTTGCATAGACAAATGACACCCTCGGAATCCTACAAGAGACACTCAAGTCTCTTCTGAAGCAACGGAGTCTGTTAATGAAAAACTTTCTGTACTGCATTTCAACAAAAGCCCTTGCTACATACACAATGACAAATGTGCATTTTTTTCACGAACTAGCCATGAAATGAAAGAACTCTGACAAGCCCCTTAATTAGGGGAGCTCTTTCACTCAACTCTACCAAAAGCACTTTATCCCAGTGCACCTAAAGCTGGAAACAGCATTCCCTATACCAGTTGCCATGCTTAATTACAAGATTAAAATGCAGGCATTTCCAGTAATGAGTTCCTGCTAAGGGACATGGGAGAATCCCATCCTCTTACACCTGCAAAAGAGCTGCTGCTGCTCCCTCCCCTCCCGGGGCCATGGCAGAAACGCATCCTCCGCCTAGAACCGGGAAGACCAACCAGCCAGGGAAAGTCCACAGCCAACCCTCGTGTTGCCACTCAGCACAGATGCGGCCGGAGGGAAGTGCGTGCTGGCCGAGATGGCGACCAACTGGATTCTAGCAACTCTGAGCATTTAGAAACGCAGCCCGGTTAGGCAGACAATTAAACGTGGGGGTCCCCTGCGCTCCTGGGCTTCTGGAAGGCGTCACAGTCAGCTCTCACTCCTGTGACCAGAACATCCAGTGGCACAAACTGATCCTGGTATCGGGCTTTCTGCTCTCGCTACAGCCTTTATGGCAAGGGACACCCCCCCCCCAGCATCCATGGAGAGGAATCTCCTCCACGTGTCGCGTCCCATTTTCCCCAACCCAGCAGGTGAAACTCCAGCCCTGCCCTACTCGAAGCCCAGCCTGGGGGATGCCCAGAAGCCTTTCTGACAAGCGGAAGGGCCTTGTCAGCCTCACGGGCCCCTTCCCACAAGGTGCACGTGGTAAAGAGCCCCAGCTGCACGCCACCCCCATTGTTTGGGGGGCTGGGAAGAAACGCAGCCCCTGCCTCTCCAATACTGAGGCCAAGGCCGAGGCAAGTCCTCTCACCTAGCGACGGGGCCACGGAGGCGACCACGTTGGCGGGGTCCCCCTGGAAACTGCCGCCCATCAGGAACTGTGCCTCGGAGGCAGGGCCACCATCCACCTTCAGGTTCTGGGCCAAGTAGAACTGGTAGAGCTCCGCCTCGGCTGGCAGGCCACCCAGGCCCAGGTGACGGCCGTGCTGCACCTGGCTCATGTTCTGCTGGAGCAGCATCATGTTGTGCATGTGCTTCTCGCTGGTCATGTGGATGCGGAGGTTCCTGGCGACGTTGGTCTCGTAGTCACACACCTCGCATCGCCAGGTTGGTTTACTTTTTGGTTTGGTGGGGGAGGGGGCCCCACAGCCGCTCCCAATGCTGGCAGCAGCAGCCGTGGCCACGGCCACCGCCCCCGCGGCGTGGCTGAACGCTTGCTCCCCGCCTCCGTTCTGCAGGTTCTGCATGTTGTTGAGATGCTTGTCCGACTGCATGTGAATACTGAGGTTGCCTTTGGTCGTAGTGGAGTAGTTACACACCTCGCAGCGGAAAGGCTTGTAACCACAGGTGTAGCTCTCGCCCCGAGCGAGCCGAGGGTGCAGCTGCCCGGTTTTGCAGTAGGAACAGGCCCCCCCCGGCTCCGGGTGCTTCTCCTTCATGTGAGCCTCCAGCGTCTGCTGGTACTTGTAGTGCCAGTTACACTTGGGACACTTGAGCGTCTTGCAGGAGTTCCGCGAGTGCATCATGGTCATGTGGCCACCCAGGGAGCGCGAGGACCCCAGGACAGTGTCACACTTGGGGCACTCCACACCGCTCCCCGAAGGGCACTCCCCACCCCCAAGCTCGCAGAGGGGCCCCCCGTGTGGGTGGTGGGAGGCGCAGGTCCCGTCCTCCCCGAGACTCTCATTTGGCTCTGGGACCGGAGCATCGTCTCTATTGGCACTTTCGTCACCGAAGTCCAGCCTCTGGCTGCCCTCACTACCGTCACTGTTAAAGCTTAAACAATTCCTCCTGTTTGCACCATCAAAGACAAAGGAAGAAGCAGAATGAGAACTAGAAGAAGCGGTGCTCCGCGACACCGACTGAAGCACGTTAGGCATTAAGGGAGAGATGCTTTGGTTTGAGAGAGCAAGATCCTTTGGGCTGTTGCCACTGCTTGCCACCGCCCCGGGCTCTGCAGGAAGCCTTTCCTCCAGGTCACCCTCCAGCCTGCATGGGAACAGCCCTTGGCCACCCCTGCCACCCTCCTCCTCCTCCTCCTCCCCCTCCCCCTCCTCCTCTTCCCCAGCTGATTCCACCTTCTCCTGCACAGCCCGCTCTTGTGTGTCACCCCCCGCCCCCCCGGGGCCCTTCCCTTCAGAGGAGGCAGCAGGGCTGGAAGTGGGTGGGGCCAGGGGAACTGAGGTAATTGGGGTCTTCAGAGCTGAGCTCGTCAGCCCACCAAGGTTTAAGAGGCCCCCAGGGGCTAAGAGGTCTGGCTGGGGCTGTTCACTTGCACTGGAAGCCCCAGCCGGGGCACCCTCCTCCCCTTCCACACAAATCCCACTGAATTTGCCATAGAAACTGTGTCCAGGGCTTATGAGGTCAGCTGTGGAAACTAAAGGGTGTGAAAAGTTTTTGGTTTTTGGTTCCAGAAAGCTTACAAGGGGCTCCTTGTCTTTGCCTATCCCTTGGATGATTGCGGAGATGTTCTTATTGCTAAGAATTTTCCGCTCCTCCTCGCTCAAAGTTATCCGATGATCATGCACCGCGTGGGTCACAAATGAGCGGACATAGCCAAAGGAGAGCTTGCACAAGAAACACATCAGGATGGGCTTCCTCTTCCCGTAGAGTACAAAGCTATCAAATTTGGACATGTCCACATTGTTGGGAACATCTTTGGATACGCAGGAACTTTTGGCAGAACCATCGCTGTTCAGGTAATCCTTGTTGCTTCTGTGGCGCACGTCAAAGACCCGGAAACTGTGCAGGACGGGGCTGACCCCCACCAGGGCAGAGGTGCCAGGAAAGGCCTGATCTGGGCCCTCAAACCACTTCCCAAAAGAGGCGGCGATGTGGAAAGTGTTGATGATCTGCGGATAGACCTGTGGCGCAACTGCAGTGGCCTCCCCTGGCTTGGCTCCCGTGCCGGGGAGAGAGTTCACCAACAGTGGCGGGAGCACCCCGCTACCGCTGCCAGCCCCGCAGACCCCACCACCTTGGCCCAGCTGACTGAGGCTTTCCACAATGTATGCTGAGCCATCCGGCTGGTAGACGATCTCTCCTGCCAAATTCTCAATGTCACTCTCCTCCTCGCCAGTGTCACTCCCACAGTCCTCTTGCAGAGGGAGGAGAGGATGGGCACTGGGGCAGGGGTGCTCCATGTAGGTCTGTAAACTGGCAAAGGAGGCTGCACATTCATTACAGCTGACCTCCTTGCTGCTGGGCTCAATGCTGGAAGCAGAGGCGGTGGTGGCACTTTCGGGTGAGTGCTCACAGAAGGGAGCCTGCTGTTTGCCTAGGTTCTCTGCTGCCGAGGGCTCCATATTACCAGGTGTGGTGGGCAGATGGTGAGCACTACCAAATTCAGTCCACTGCTGGTGCTGAGGGACAGCACCCCCATGGTCCTTCCCCAGGATGACAGGCAAATCACAGCCCTCCATTGTCAGCCCTGCAGCCAGCGTTCATCGCACCTGGCACAGCTGGGACCTGAAGGTGGGCAGAGGGAGGGGAGAGACAAAGAGAGACACCTGTCAGCCAGGCCTGGCCACACCAAGCACCCAACCCATCTCACCCCAAAAGGCAGCTTGTCTGGCCTGTGTCCAACCCTGGACAGAAGTTCACCAGGACCCCCACCAGGCTTCAGGAAATCAGAAAGGGAGGGCACAGGCCCAGGGCTGCAGAAGGAAGCTGAGACTCTCAGTTCCCTGCAAGAGGGCATCCTGCCCTCCTTTAGAGCCTCTCAAGGGCCAGATTAAAGAACTGCTCTACGCTGTTGGTCAGAAGATCACTCATCCAGCGAGTCTTTCACGTGGAGAGCATTTCGTCCTATCCACGCCAAGAGAGTCTGAAGGGTTCTTCTGAAAACCGCAGCCCCTGGCTGGTCCCACGGTCCCTGGTGACCCAGACACCTCAGAGGCACCCCTTACTCTGCACCCCCAGCCGCTCAGAGATCCAAAGGAGGAGCTATCTGAGGTGGCATCTTTGGCACGCTGAGACTTGAACTTCGCAGAAAGACAAGTGACGCAAAGCAAGGCCAGTACCCAAAACTCTCCATGTGCTTGTCAGGCCTCCCAGCACCAGCCCTGCCCCTCATCGTGAACTCTCAGGGTCTGCTGAAGGCGTGCCGGGCCCAGCAGCTTCCAGAAGCATGGCAGGTCTATGGCTCAGCACACCTGGCCCAGCTCGACAGAGGAGAGGAGACGAGAGGAGCCCAGCGGTGGGCCACAGCCGGCCCAGGTCTGGGAAGAGGCAGGGTGGGCAGAGCAAGGGCAACCCACCACCCAACTGCCCCTTCATTGCCTGCCTTCTCAGCTAGGAAGCGAAGCTCTCCCCTGAACAGCAGGGATGCCCAGTGGCCAAGGGCAGCATAGGATGGAAGTGCCCACGGGCAGCTGGGGAATGGCAAAAGTGACCCTTCCCACTTTGGGAGCTAATTAATTGGTTGAGGTTTTTTGCCTTGATGGGTTTTAAATTACATTTTCACTGTATCTTCATTGTGCTTCTGTTTGTATATCTGTGTACACACACACACACACACATTTCATCTAGGTGCCACTACTAACAAGGTCCAAAAGGCCAGGATGCACCAAGCATCTTGGGGGTCAACTTGTTCACCCAGGCTTTGCTCCTTGCTTCTGCTGGCCCAAGCCTCCCGGGCAAACCCCCACCCACCCTTTGGGATCCTGCCCACTGCCTCTCACTGGCTACTCACTGCCCTTCCCTGGCAACTACCTGGTTGCCTCAGCATCCCTGGACTCCTCTGCCCCGCGGCCACAAGGCAGGCTCCAGGCCAATGCGCCTGGTGGCCCCGGCCGGGGAGGCAGGTCCCAGGCTGCCCGTTCCAGCAGCACGAGCAGCCGCTCCTCTCCCTGGCGTCCTACCTCCGAAGAACCTGGCACGGGGGGCCAACAAACCCGTGGGGGGCGGCTGACCCACAGGCCCTCTGATGCGCCCGAGGGGCCTGAGGCCGGCTGGCTGGCTTCCCCAGCACGCAGATGCCTGACTGACAGGCTGGACCAAGGGGGCTGGTAGGGCTGATGAGGTGGGGGAGGGGGTTAACCACCTGATTGTAAAATCAATGTCATAAATGCTTGGTAAGTTACAGGAACAAGCGGGAAGAGGAGGCTGCGATTGATAAAGGACTGCGGCTTTGATGCTGCACTGGGGACTTGTTTATTGACAGCAAAGCCAATCTCCCCTGCAGGCCAGGCCAGGCCAGGCCAGGCCAGGCCAGGCCAGGCCAGGCCAGGCCAGGGAAACCGGCAAATGCTTTCCAATTAATTGGGGGCTCTCTGGCCGCCCTCCCTGCTCAGCAAGGCCAGGGAAAGCCCTCCTCTCTGCCAGCCCTCCCGGCCTGCACGCGGGATTAGCCACGGGGACTATGCAGAGGGGGCAAGTCTCCGTTTCCTAGTCTGGATGGTGGCATGGCAGACCCGGTGCCTTCCGGGCATGCCCCACTCCTCCAGCCAGTCGTTAAGAAAAGGCAGCTCTTGCTCAATGAGGCAGGTCGATCAGCACACTGTCTGTAAACGTGTTTCCCGTAAAATCAATGATGTTCAGTCAGAGTGCCCCGGGACTGGGAACCCCCAGCCCTCCCCACAGGCTCCCCCCCCTCCGCAGCTCCTTTGCGTCCACCCTCAGGAATCCTTCTTCCCGCTCTCATCCCAAACCACCGCAACGGAGTTCCTTCCTAAAGTAGGTCTATTCTGCCTCAGGATGATCAAGTCCTCAATGTGGCTTCTATCTCTAAAATTCAAGTGCAGCTACCACCAAGCGCAGAATATTCCACGCAGAGCAGAAATCAAGAACAGAATAACCAGCACCAGGTACAGCAAGTGACGCCAAGCAGATTTATTTTTTGTTGTTGAATTTATACCCTGGCTTTCTGTTTTTTCCAAAACTCAAGGCAGATTACGATATGAAATACAAAGTATAAAACTAAACAAAATCAATTTGGTCCAAATCAACATTAAAATTAAAGCCGGTAATCAAAATAATTAACCATCAACATTTATAATCAGTAGATTGGTGAATCTGAATTCAAGAAGATCCCTTCCCCTCGCAACTGAACAGTCAGGAAGCTTCCTTTAAGAGGAATCCTGCTGCTGCCCCAAAGAGGAGATCTTCTTCGTGCAGAAGAAGCCCATAAAGTTGAAAGGATCCGGGGTCCAGACCAGTTGAACGGTCAAAGGAAGAAAATCAACCGAAGCCAAGCTGACCAACCCGGCCTGACCCCAGCAAACCCCATCCCTGGCTTGTAACAAAAAGGTTGGCTGCCATTGTGGAATGAACAACTTAGGCTCTGTCGCTCCCCTCCAGCGACAGGAAGCACCTGGGGGCAACCTCCTGCATCCTGACATCCACGAAGAAGCAAAGCCAGGTTTTAAGAGGATACACGGCTTCATCTTTCCCTGCCCCAGAACTCCCAGAGTTTTCAAACAAACATGCTTCTCTCTTTGGTTAAGCAAGGCAGATCAGCTGCTCCTCAGAGACAGCAGAAAGGAGGGCCTTAGAAATATTGGGACCAGGGGTGTCCACACAAAATGATTCCAAAGCAATGACACGCACGCAATAATCACACCATGCAAATACTGTCATTATTGATTTTCATGCCAACGTCTGATGCAAGGAAATTTGCTGCAGCTTCTGAATGCTGATGTTGCACACAACTCCCCCCCCCCACAACTTTCTTTTGCCCTAATAGGACTGTCGTATAGTCAAATGTAATGGTCTTTTTTAAAAAAAAAAAGTAAGTTCTGCAACACCCTGCAGCCCAGAGACAAGGGCAAAGGATCCGGTCGTATTACGCAGGGTTCTTGGGACACAATGCTCCAAAGGGAGGACCAAGACCAACATGAAGAACGCCCAAGTGCGTATCCCACTGGACATTCCACCTCAGCTTATAGTCTGGAGGAGACTGCAAGTTAGAAGAGATGAGAGCCATATAGCGTTGTATGGCAAATGCTAATGTAAATTACTTAAAGATTCCTCCAAATCTCGTCAAGGACTAAAAAGTCACAGGCCCAAACCACAAAAGGAGCACTGCTGGAAGACACCATGCAAGGACAGCTCTGGTTAAGGATGCTTTGGTTGCTCACTTTGGCTTAGATTCTAAAACAAGTTCTCGCTCCTCTTCATCACAGGCGTGTTGCCCTTTCGTGGTCTCAGTGTTAATGAGAAACTTATTTGGGCTGGTTTTTACATGTGCCTTTTTCCAGCGTCATCCAGGATTTGAGTAAAGCAATCCATTTTGTCGCAGGAGACAGCATTAGCAAAACATTTGGAGCCAATATGAATGGAGGCGTGAGCTACTCTGATGTAATTCATAAATGGTATACCTACCATTTACTGAATAAAAGTTGTAAATAAGCCAACAAGAGATCTTCCAGAGAAATATAAATTCCTTCCTGACCTTGAGGACACCAGCCTAGTCAAGTAACCCATAAGGTATTCATGCTCAGAAGACCGTGGGAAACTGAGAAGCCACTGTTCTCTGTGTAGACCCATGTGACCATGGCAACTAGGCAGTTAATTCATTTCTGTCTCCCCACCCCCATTCAAAACAGCAAAATATACCCACTTTGACCACTGGTTTGCCAACATCTGGAACCATGGACTCAGCAAAATCTGCATGGTGCAGTTATTCTCCCTGGTTCTCCACACCCGCATTAGAAAGCCTCAACTCAAAGGAACCAGGAGGATTCTTGCTGCTTGGAGAATGACAAATAAACCATAAATAAATAAACTTGGAGAACCAAGGAAAGACACAGTCTGTGGGGGAAGAAAGAATGGCAGATTCCTCCCTGGGATACAGCCAGGGACACCAAATCAAGAATCCAAGGCTTCCCGTTTTCCAGCAGCTTTACTTTCAGCAGGAATCTGGGAATCTTGCAGAAGGATGTGGGAGTAACTCAATAGGCTTACATCTGAGTAAAATGTAATCTAGTGGGGGATGCAATTTTAGGCTGCATTATGAGTAAAACATCCAAATCATAGGAAGTAATCATTCCACTTTATTCTGCTTCCTTTGGACTCAGCTGCTAGTACTGGGTCCACTTCTGGGTGTGAACTTAAAGGTAGGTCCAGAGAAGGGCAATGAGGTGGTCGGGACACTAAAACAAAGCCCTCAAAGAGAGATTGAGGAAGCTGGGTATGTTTAGCCTTGATGTGGGAAGACTGAAAGGATGTCACACAGAAGAGGATCAAGACCTGTTCTCTCTCATTCTGAGTGCAAGGCACAAAACAATGGATTTAAATCACAGGAAGGCAGATTAGGATTGAATGTTAGGAAACATATTCCATGAGCTTCAGTTTCCTCTTGATAGTGCAACCAATCAGCCAGAGGAGTGACAAGCTCCGTTCCACAGAACTGGAGAGAGGCTGGACAGCCATCTCCCAGGAAGGCTTGAATTTGGGTTCCTGCTGTGCAGGGGTTGGACTCAATGCTCTAAGTGGGCCATTCAAACTCTAGGATTCTACTCATGACTGGTTGCATCTATTTTTTTTTTCTT